TCAAAATAATTAGATAAATTTAATTATCTTAATTAAAACCAATAAATAAAATTAATTTACTTTAATTAAAATTAATTAATTAATTTTATTAACCATCACTAAATTAATTACCATAATTAATTTATTATTATTATTATTATTTGTATTTTCTTAATATTTTTTGGTGATTAATCCATTTGAGCGGGTCAGATTGATCCGACCAAGAAAGATAACCAGATTGTAAAAACATAACTAGATGGTAGACATGGGTAAAAACTGATCAAATCCAAACAAAAAATGAAGAGGGAAATTAGGGTTTTATTCTGGCAAAAATGAATTTCAAGCTAAAATTCATCAAAACAGTACAGTTCAAACTCAAGATTCCAGCATCCAACCACCAAATGCAGCTAAGAAAATAATTGATCATCGAATACCATTCCTCTTTTAACAACTTCATACAAGTTTAAGTGGCAGTCATCAGAACAGCACAAAAACTTAAAAGGCGAAAAACACCCAAGGCCGAATTTTCTGGAGAAGAGCAGATCAGGATCAGGAGGGAGGGATCCCTCCCACGGCACCTGCTCCGTTCATCTCCTTCACCATCCTCTCCGAAAATCCTTCGGTTCTAGAGAGTTACCTAAAGCAAGGACCAATTTCTGAACCTTGAAGCCACTGTTCCTCCCCCTGTTGACTGGCCACCAAATTCGCCCCCAGAGAAAGAATCCGTTCGTCACCGACCGTTCGATCCTTCAGTGTTAATCCCTCCTTACACCACAAACCAGCACCGGTACTCTACCAAAGGAAGAACCGGGGATGATGCTGATCTTTAAAATTTTGGTGGTCAGAACCCCTTTCCTCTCCAATGGCTTTTTGGTGGTGATTATGATGATGATGACCAGCAAAGATGGTGGTGAGATGGTAAAACTTCGGTTTGAAGGGAGGCTGAGAGGAGAGGAAGACTTCGGTTTGTTTTTTTTTCGGCTGCCCAACCCCACGTCTTGAGAGGTTGTTTTTCTTTCAAAACATCAGGCGTTAGGGTCTTTTGACTGAGGACTTGGGCCGGGTTCGTCAATTTGGTGGGCTTGCAGGCTTTTTACATCCTTTTGGATTAGGACCAGGCCTAATATTTGTACATCTCAAGCATATAGGCTCTTGCGACACAATATTTAGATATAATTAAAATAATGTCATTTAAAGCTAAACTTTGAGATATCGCACTCATCTTCAGAAATTTATAAATGAAGGGTTGACTTCCCGTCAACGACATTATAATTGTTTTTCCTTTTACTATGTCTTTCTTTAGTTAATTTTCATTTTCCTTTTGGTCTTGATATGTAAAATCATTCTAAAGCAGATCTACATGATCATCTGCATGTTAAGAGAATCTCAGAGGCAGATCGAGAGGAAGCAATCAACAACACATGCTTAGTTAGTTACAAACTCTGTAAGTATTCACTTCCATCTACCTGTCTACCTTCTCCTTTTTTTTTTGTTTGGTGTGATGATTTTTTAGTATTGGTTATGGTACAAGGTGTACAACGTATGATCTGAGCTTGCATCCTTCTCCAGTGGTATTGCATCATCTTGGTGAAACCCATACTCTATTTCAAAGAGTATAGATTTACATTAATTATTCTCAAGTAATCGGTGGAATTTACTATCTGACATTGAAGAAGCTATATATCTCAACTAGGTAGGTAAGAGTTTTCCTTTCTTCTTAGATTGCGTTCTATTTTCATTTTTTAAAATTTTTTACGTTGGATGTTAGGTTCTATGTGTTTTTTTATTTTTTTAATTGTTTTAAAATTTTTTTTGATGGAATAAAATTTTTAAATATAAGACATTTAAATGAAAATTTTGAAGTTTAATTTTAACCAATTAACTCTCCTTGGATTTTTTTTTTAACTACAAAAATATAGGCTACTTACAAAAACATTAATTTATCAAAAATTTTAAAATTTTATTTCTTACTAAACAAATTTTTGTAATTTCTTTCTTGACCAATTGCCCAGTGAAAGGAATATTCTAGTAGCATCTTTATCTATTAAAGATTAATAATTTCTTTGGTGTTTGGACCTTTCAACGTATCATTTTTAGAAAACCAAAAATTATGTACATGCGAACCCGTAAGTTCTCATCTTTGAAAACAAAAATTAGTGATTTTTTTTTAGAAAAGTGGGTCCGATAATAACGGTCAGAATATTATCAAGGTTACAAATATTTTATTTTTTATTTTATTAAATTTTTTCACTTAATTTAAGAATATATATCTTTTTAATTTTATCTTTATTATTTTCGTCGTAAGTGAATCTTTATAAGAGGCAAACCAGAAATTAATGGTCTTTTATAGGGAAAAGTATATATGGACCTACTAAACCAATAAAAAATAAAAAGCTGGCTGGCAGAAATAAATTTGATCATGCTTATCGCTGTTCCACACTAATTAAATTTATTTATTTGTTTTGGAAAAACATATATTCATGAACTCTCTAAATTTGGAGACATTGCACTGATCTTAAGAAATTTTTAGATGGAGGGTTGACTTCACGTCAACGACATTACAATTGTTTTACTTTTTACTGTACTTTTCTATAGTTAATTTTCATTTTTCTTTTGATCTTTTTTTTTTATCAGCAAAAACAAATATGCTTTATATTAACTCTCGGAGTATAAGGAATACTCCACCACAAAATACAAACACTTTAATCACTATCCAACAGAAGAGAAAAAATCAAAAATGCAAATGAAGCATATGTCCAATAGCTAAACACATTTAGGAACTGTGCATCTTCTTGTATTTCTTCGAGTTTTGCCGGTGATGAACTATTGCTTCTTTACAATCCATAGGCCTTGAAATCCAATCTGAGTAAGAAAACACACATCCTGGCTCTTTATTTTTAATCCATAGAAAAGATTTTGCTTGAATAGACTCCAATAACCTCACTTCAGACTGCAAAGCTGGTCCAAACACCTTCATATTCCTCCAGTACCACACTAACCAAGCAGTTACCAAAAAAATAAGGCCTCCCAGCTCCTTCAAGCAATCCCCACTTATTCCCCACACCACCGCCTCTGCCATCCCAAATATATCATTTGGCAAAACACATTGTAACCCCCACCATCCCAAAACCTTCGTCCATACCAACCACACCCCTTCACACTCACAAAAAATATGATGTAACATCTCCACCCCCTCATTACAAAACCCACAACTAACATCCCCACCTGTCATTCTAAAGCAGATCTACATGAGCTACAGCTACTGCATACTCAGGGAACATCTCAAAACCAGATCAAGAGGAAGCAATCAACAACACAAGCTTAGTTACAAACTCTGTAAGTATTTTCTTCCATCCCCCTGTCTGCCTTCTTCTTCTTTTCTTTTCTTTTTATTTTGGATGATTTTGCAGTGTTGGTTATAAGTGTACAACTTATGATCTGAGCGTGCATTCTTCTCCAGATATTGCATCATCTTGGTGAAATCCATACTCTGCTCCAAAAAGTAGAGATTTACATTTATTATTTCCAAGCAATCAGTGGAATTTGCTATCTGATATTGAAGAAGCTGTATATCTCACTTCTCAACTTGGTATGTAAGACCTTCCCTTAATTTCTTCCTAGATTGCTGCTTCTTTTTTTTTTAACATCAGGTACTAGGTTGTCGACATTTTTCTTTTTTCAAATTCCCTTTTAAACCTATTAAATATTCAAATTTAAAACCTTCAAACTAAAAATATAAAACTTAATTTTAACTAATTAAGTCTCCTTGAGGCACTTACCCTTGTTGGCTGATTAGCTAATAGTTAGTTTTAAAAGTGCATTTTCATTAATATAATGCTGGTTCAGATTCTCCATCCCTTAAAATTTGTACTCATTCCAAAAATTGAGAAAAAAGAAGTCTCCTAGGGACTTCTTTTCTCTTCTTTCTTATAAAAACATACGCTGACCAACTGGGAAAAGAAAAAGACGGAACATAAGAAAAGTTAGATAAGGTACACGTAAGGTCACCTACTTTTATTATAAATTTTAATTTAATCTCTCAACTTTTAGATTTGTAAATTTGTCAAGTGACACCTTTCTTTTACCTTTCGATTTAGTTCTTCTCCGATAGCTTAGTGCTTAGGTTAAATATCTTATTTGATCCCTCAACTTTTATTTTTGAACTAAATCTATCCTTGAACTTTAAAAAGTAGTAAAAATATTCTCAAACTTTAATTTTTGAGAGCAACTTAGTCCTTCCAAATTGGTACTTACAGCTATCTCATCATTAACTCTCACCATGCATTAACTAAGATACTCAACTATTGCTTGCAATTGTCTGTGCTTGTGCTAAGTTTTATGCTTCTAATCATATAATATAAGTCCTTAATTTATTATTTTTTATCATCACAAGTCCTTAATTTAGGAGATCAGGTCTCGCTTAATTTTATAGATGTTGAATGACTTTATGTTAATGAAACTCCCTATCTATACTTTCATTTTATTTTTATAGGCAAGTTTAGTTACTATTTTTTTTGAAAAAATTTAAGATGCATAAGAGAAGAATATCCTCTAGGTCTCTCTTATCCCTTAACTCTTTTCCCTCATATATTATGTAATTCAAACTCAAAACCTTTTATTTACTTAGTTTATCATTCGGTTACTAGCTAATGTTTATATATATGTGTATATATATATATATAGATACACACTCAGTAGTAAATAAATACTCCCTTTGTTCATTACTTTGAGACAATATATAGCTCTCTAGATGTGATATCCCAAAACTGAATTTTAGCTTGAAAATAAGTTTGAATGTAAATTAGAAGTTCTTGTACCTTTAAGTAGTAAATGTCTAAATTTCAATTTAGTAAAATACTTCAGATTTTGCTTAAGGTTGTTGACATCTCATACTGTTTTGAAATAAATTTACACTTGAACTTGTTCTCAAAAAAAAAATTTGAAACTAATGAACACTTCAAGTTAAAAGTTTACAAGGGTAAGTGTTGTAGTTCAAGAACTAGCGAGCTAAAAATCTTAATAGCTCTACAATTTAAAATTTTAGAACTAATAACTCAAGTAAAAGAAAAGGCATTTGGCTTTGACAATCTCTAAAATCTGTTTAAGAAAGTTCAAGACACTCCATTATACACAAGTTCAAGAGTCTTTGAAGCTCTAAGTTGCCAAAATTTTCCTTTACAGCAGCTTTAACCGTTTACAAAAATCAATGGTATCATATACACCACAGGTTCATGACACAAAATTAGTGAGCTAGGACTAGCTTTTGGGTGAGTTTAAATTTGTCTTACCAAGGAGCTCTAGGCTTTCACTTGGACTGGTAGGTGCTTCCTAGGCTCCTAAAAATATGTATGCTGCCTCTAGTTGCTTTTACTTGTAACAATGCAAAGCTTAGCAAGAATTTCAATAAATTAGTTTGGGTAAACTAGTGCTACATATACCAACGATACTTTGAACTTAATCTAGAAAAGTAGCATTTTTGGCCCAAGGGTGCAGAATCAGTTCTATCAATGCTTGCTAGCATTGAACATTTAGGGATTCATTCACCCTCAACATAATTACAAATATATCAAGTTTCGCAAAGTAATAAGCAAAGTAAAATTTAGCATGAATTTATCTATATGTCCATGAACAAATCTATATGGAGATCATTCTATGAGTGTACATCTCACTAACTCTATGGACCAGCCTAGACATCTTTCTGCGCAAAGGTCTAACAATTCACATCAACCTAGTTAACTTTAGGAGTCCTTTCCCTAACCATTAGCATTGGTCTTTAGCATAGATTCGATTCAGATACAGCATGTTTTATGATGCCTACTCAATACATGAAGCAATTCTCCTTCATAAAGAGCTTACATAAACTTATAGATAAGCAAGATTAACTAACTGCATAACTAACATAACTTCTCATTTCATATATATGTTTGCAGATTTTCAACCTGAAAATAATTTACCACAGAGTTTTAGCACACAAGACAGCAAGAAGGAGCAAACTTCAGGTAATTTTTACTCTGCATGGAAATTAATGGAACATAGATTAAATAATTGTGAGTGTAAATCTAAGGAAAACTTTAGCATGAATTTATGTTTCCATATGTCCATGAACAAATCTATGGAACTCATTCTGTGAGTGTAAATCGCACTAAGTCTATGGACCAGCGTAGACATCCTTTTGTGCAAAGGTCTAACAACCCAAATCTGTTTAGTTAACTTTAGGAGCCTTTTTCCTATCCATTAGCATAGGTCTTTACCATAGATTCAATTCAAATGCAGCATGTTTTATGATGCTTACCCATTGCATGAATCAATTCTCCTTCATAAGTAGCTGACATAAACATATATATAAGTAATATGAAATCACTACATAACTAACATAGTTTCTCATTTCATCTACTCATAGATTTTCAACCCAAAAATCATCAATCACAAAGTTTCCGCATACAAGCAAGAAGGAACAAACTCCTAGGTAATTTTTACTTTGCATGTACTTAAATTCTTTATATGTATCTTATTTGAGTTTTTCTAGTTCCGACTTACTATTTGAATTCATCAAATTCTAATTCCAGCAACTTAACTTCCAGGTTCCATTAGACTAGGTTAAATAAAGCTCAAACTTCTCTTAGCGTAGTCCTAACCTTGAAAAAGTTCCTCCCAAAGCCACTAACACTACCGTTGTTGGGCTGCCGAACCCTCCCCTTTCACTTTCTTCTTCTCGTTTGGTCAAAAAATTAAGGAGGAAAATGTGTTCAGCTCAAGTTTTAGGCCTTATTTATATCAGCAAACAATGTCAATGGAGTTTTAATTAGATCCACTAACTGATTTTTCTTTTTACATGTCCCTTGCCGATCACATGACAAAGGGCTTGCATATCACATCCGATAAACCTTTTTTTATTATTTTAAGTTGTATAATTAGAAGTAATTTTTTCTTATTAGCTAAACTATTCTACTTACAAGGTAACTTGAATTTAATAAATAAATAAATAAATTTTATTTTAATTTATATAATTAAAAGCAGGCAAAAGTCCCTATTTGCACCCTCCATTTATTTTTTTTTCACGGTCAACACCTTTCAGAATTTTTCCTCCCTATTCACACCCTCAATTTTTCAAAACCCGTAAAAAACCCAACATTTTAACGTGCCGTCACGGTACCGTTACAAAATGTGACGTTGCCACTTTGTACCGTTAAAAATCCAATGTGGATGCTTTTTTTTGATAATGTGACTTGACAAGCATAATTTTTATGTGAAAATTCCTCAACAAAAAAAATATATATAAAAAAAAAAGGACCTCTGGGTTCCTCACGACGAGGAACCCATGATCTTTCTCCTTCTAATCATCAGCTTGATCCGAGTTACCTTCTCTCCCCACAGAACTGCTAGCTAATGATGGATCCATGTTTTCTGAAGACTCACCAAACTCCTCTCTGTACATTTCTTCAATCATTGGCTTCCATAGCCGAACCCGAGCATTTATAAACCAATTCGATACCTGAGTTAACCCCAATAACAATCAAAATTCATACAAAAAACAAAGGATTCAGGACTAAACTCAAACATAATTATCTCAAATGTTTTTACTTGGTTCTTAGTCAATCTTGTTTGTGATGCCAACATCAATTTCTTCGACTCGGTTGGATAACTGCTCGAATCTCCTCCGGAGGAACCCATGAGGAACTGGGTTCCTCCGGAGGAACCCAGCTCGAATCCGATCTGGGTTCCTCACGACGAGGAACCCAGATCGGGTTCCTCACAAGGAACCAGAGCTCCTGTTCTTTTTTATTTTTTTTTTTTGGGTGGGAAATTTTCACAAAAAAATATTCCACAAGCCACATCATCAAGAAAAGGCATCCACGTTGGATTACTAACGGCATAGAGTGGCCATGTCAATTTTTGAGTGCCACGTAGTGCATTTTGTAACGGTACTGTGACGGCGTGTTAAAATATTGGGTTTTTTATGGGTTTTAAAAAATTGAGGGTGTGAATAGGGAGGAAAAATTTTAGAAGGTGTTGACCACAAAAAAAAAATAAATGAAGGGTGCAAATAGGGGTTTGGCCTCAGAAGTAATCTTCTTTTATTTTTAAATTACTGCACTTATTTGCCACACAATTGAAATATGAGATCTCTTCTTTCGCTTAGAGTGGAAATTACTATTCAACCCCTAGTTGGTATCACATCTGAATCTGATTGATTAATTTAGAATGAAACTAGCAGCTCCAATCACTAAAGTAATTTAACTGCCTAAACTTTTCAATTTCTAGTAATTAAGGACAAAAGTTTACAAAAACTTACAATTAAAGACATTCTTGTTTAACGGTAATGGGTAATCTTGGTAAGGGAAATAGGTAACTTAGATTTGATAATTTTTAAAAAAATTCGAATAATTTTTCCAGTCCCGTTTGGATAGATCACGGACGCATGGGTCCACTCCTCTAACCCAAAACTTGAAATAATCAAACTTAAAAAGCACAAGACCCAAAACCTCACGAGTCACATCTCCTGACACATCTGTGTGGTTTAAAAATTATTTATTTATTTAT